AAAGGAACCCCAAGTCCTGGCATGACGGAGACAAAAAAGGTGACTGTTACCCTAAGACAAGGGCACACAGCAACCCTCAAACTCGGACGAGACGAGGTGGAACTCAGAAGACGCATCCATAGGTCTAATGAACCCCCAGTGGGAATTTCCAGGGCCTACAGGCTGACTGCTATGGGAAGCCCAGGCAAGGTACTGCAAAACCGGCTAGGCCCAAACTAACAAGGAAAACTGCTAAAGCTGAACCTCTGCGATGTGTACAATCACGGAGGTTATCTTGAGATAATTTCGGGGCTTTTAGTGTCCCCGCGGCCCGGTCCTCGACCAGGCCTCCACCCCCAGGAAGCAGCCCGTGACAGCTGACTAACACCCAGGTACCTATTTTATTGCTAGGTAACAGGGGCATAGGGTGAAAGAAACTCTGCCCATTGTTTCTCGCCGGCACCTGGGATTGAACCCAGGACCACAGGATCACAAGTCCAGCGTGCTGTCCGTTCGGCCGACCGGCTCCCTAACCGGAGGCCTAGAGGAGAGCCACCAAAATAACAGAAGTGGACCAATAGCCAAACCATGCAGACCCCCCTCCAGGCAAGGAAAACAAAAAGCAAATAAAAACCCTGCTAAAGGACAATGTCCCCAGAAGGAACAGAAATTGGCCGGCGCATAGGTAGGCGAGCTATGCAGTACCTTGAGCCTGTACCAGCAAACAATACCACTTCTTACCCAAGGCCAAACAAAGGCCATGAAAACCCCAGCTGGCCCCTAGGGCGGGGTAAATGTTGAGCAGCAAAGACCCCCCACGGAAGCAGCTCTCGAAAGTTCTATGGAAGAGAACCCTAGAACCCAAGGGTAGTACTTACGGTTTTCTTTTCTAGGCACTCTGTAAGTGCATGCAGCCCCAGTACTCTCAATATTCTCCTGGCCACCATGCCACATACAGCAGAACATACCACTAAGGTACACAACTGCCCAGGATCTGAGGTCAGAGTCAACGTCTACCCCGGAAAAACATCAGCGACTATGAGAAATATTGCCGGAACAACCGTGGACATCTTCAAGAGAAAACTGGACTGTTTTCTAAGAGAAATTCCGGATCAGCCGGGCTGTGGTGGGTATGTGGCCCTGCGGGCCGCTCCAAGCAACAGCCTGGTGGACCAAACTCTCACAAGTCAAGCCTGGCCTCAGGCCGGGTTTGGGGAGTAGAAGAACTCCCAGAACCCCATCAAGTATCAAGGTATCAAGCCAACGAGTTGGAGTTGTTGAGTAGCCGGCACAGAGGGTCTGGAGCTCCCCCTACCCCTCCCCCTCCCAGGGTGAGGAGCACTGCACGGCAATGGAGTGTAACGTTTGCTTGTTTCTTTAAGTGGGGGGCGGGAAGTTCTGCCTCTATGTTCGGTCTTCGGTTGGAATTTTCTTACCATGTGGGGTCTGTTTTGTTATGCCTACCTTTCTGGATGCTATCCCAGGTCAATGGCAGACATGAAATGCCCCCAAATACAAGGGGGTTTTCATAGATCATGGCTCCCTTTGCCTCTCTGAGGGGGCCAGGTTCTGGCTCGTGGGCCCCCAGTGGGCTGAACTCCAATTGACTGATGCCCTAGGCTAATATAACACACATCAACCTGATGGCTTCAGGGAGCTGCAGGGGCTCCCCACAAAAAAAGAAAATCAGTAATATATTCATTTTTAAATGTAATAAAATAATAATAACATGAATTTTTTTAGAAGCGTGCACACCCTCTGAATTTTATGAAAGATTGACGGGCAAGCCCGACTCGCTCTCCATCTGTGCGCAGCTTATTACTCAATATGTGGGCTTTCTGATAAGACCCAGTATATCAGTCCATAATTAAAGAATTTTGGTCCACGTACTCTGAGGATTACTTTTTAGATCCCACTCTGATTTCTTTGCCATCGGGCACCTACTCTGCACAACTAAGTCAGCTATGGAAATCTGTTATCTCACATAGTCCCTTCTTTCCTGTTTCTTCACTCATTTTTTAGTAGGACTTTAAGAGGCTGATGATATTTTTCTGCATATTTGTTACCTCTGCCAATTTTCTGTGCTGGCATCTTTCTTTTTATTGTGTCTACAGCCATGTTTTGAAATCAAGGCTTCTAGTACTTCAGATGCTGGTGGTTAGGTATCTCCTTCCTTACGCTCCATCCTCTTTCTGCCTATGTGATCTTAGGGTAAGTGCTACATTTTTGAGTGCATCCCATATTTGCTTGGGTCTGGTGTCCAGAATTTCAATGTTTAACGGTAAATCCCTTGAAGTTTTCTTCTCAGCATTAATACACATTCTGCTTTCATGATCTCTTGCATATTAATTGTCCGAGATTACTTTAACCACTGTGCTGCGCCGAGTTTATTGTAATTATTACCTAAGTGTAATTATTACCTAAGTGTAGTTACAGGATGAGAGCTACGCTCGTGGTGTCCCGTCTTCCCAGCACTCTTTGTCATATAACGCTTTGAAACTACTGACGGTCTTGGCCTCCACCACCTTCTCATCTAACTTGTTCCAACCGTCTACCACTCTGTTTGCAAAAGTGAATTTTCTTATATTTCTTTGGCATCTGTGTTTAGCTAGGTTTAAATCTATGACCTCTTGTTCTTAAAGTTCCAGGTCTCAGGAAATCTTCCCTATCAATTTTATCAATTCCTGTTACTATTTTGTATGTAGTGATCATATCACCTCTTTTTCTTCTGTCTTCTAGTTTTGGCATATTTAATGCCTCTAACCTCTCCTCGTAGCTCTTGCCCTTCAGTTCTGGGAGCCACTTAGTAGCATGTCTTTGCACCTTTTCCAGTTTGTTGATGTGCTTCTTAAGATATGGGCACCACACAACCGCTGCATTGTGGGAATTGTGAAATTCCCTGTGCGCATGAAATAAAGTGTTCCCCAAAAATTCTTTTTTCTCCGTAAAATGATAAATTTCCTTCCCTGAACATGTCTATTTAAAAATATATACCAAATTCCACTTACTTTGGCTGTGGGGACGTGGACAAGATGCTCTGTGACGTCATCAGGGGCTGGTCGCCCATGCGTGACTCGCCCAGACACGGTCGCGCAGGCCATTCAAGCACCGGGTGTTGCCACAAATATATTTTCAATTATTTGTTTTATGCATTTCCAATGTTTTTTTTTTTTTTTATTGTATATGATGCATATTTGTGTCCTTTACAATATGTATACAGTAGAACGTTCATAATGTTCCATGGAACTGTGATACATGTGTCAGTAATGTGTCCACAATAAATGTTTATTGTCGCAATATTACCTGTTAAAAATTCACTAAAATTACAATATGTACAGTTTCACACAGTAACACACTGTACAGTACTGTATTACACACTCAGTACTTCGGAAGTGAGTAATAATCAACGAAGTAGCCCATGGTACACAGCGCGACTTCGCTCTCAGTGCACCAGGTACAGATAAATTTTCACTTCCTGTTTCTTCATTCTGTGTGCTTGCAAATAATGCACTCACATACACCCTTGGCTTTAGTACTTGTAGGTTGTATGTAGCCAAGCTTGTAAAGCATAAGGTAGTATTGAAAAGATTATAGGAAAAGATCAATTTGTAAGGTAGTCTTGAAAAGATCGCTTTGTATGGTCCCACACAGGAAGAGATTCAGCTTACCTCAAAGAGTGTCCATCAGTCAGGAAGAGATTCAGCTAGCCTCAAAGAGTGTCCATCAGTCAGGAAGAGATTCACGTATTCTTGAAAATATCTATGGAAAACACCACCATGGAAGCCGCTAACACTGTTCATCTATGCTACTTGTATCAGATGCATCATCACTGAACGCAGAAAACGATTCATCTATGTATCATCTAAATAAATTGGAGATAGCATAGGATTGCAAGGGTGACACTCAGAGCTACAACTGGATACGCTCGCTGTATCGTCCTCATAGGTGCTGTATCACTTGCATCCAACCTTTGTGTTAGGTCCTTATTGCGCCTCACTTCACCAATATTATGACCCTTATGTTCTTCAAACATTAAGGTTTGAATTTCACCGACAGAGTGCGTTGGACAGGTATTTGGGAGCCAGAGGCACGTGTGTCACCCATGGTTGCTCACTCAGTACTAACCCAGCCAGCAGCCCTAGGGCATTCTGGGAATTTTTTCCAAGATGGCTGCCTCTCACTGGAGGTCCTAAGAGTCCATTTCGTACACAATCAACGTTTCCTTTCACCACTTTCCTTTCTAGGGGAAGCTCCCGAGGCATCCTGAAACTATCACACAGATTCAGTGATAATCTACTAGGTGCCATCAATTGCAGAGTTCTATTGGCCTACCAGGATCCACAAGCCAGAACCTATACAATACAAGGGTTACCTCATAGCATTTTAGAGAGTGCAGTACAGTGCAATAGTTACTCATGGAATTCACAAGGGTACGGGTTACAATGCAATGGTCCTCTAATAGAGGGTACAAATGCACGAGGGTGTGCAGTATTTGCCTTGTATCATTCATGAGTGTGTGCAGTTCAGGGAAGTTTCCTTATACATAAGGAAACTGATGAGGGTGTGCAGTATAAGACAAGGGTTGGCTCGTAGCATGGAGCCAATAAGGAAGTAAACAGAAAGTGAGAAATGTTACATTTGAAGGAGACGGTATAGGACTTAACTATTTAAAGTAAAATTATCTAAAGGGAATGTATCAAATAGCAGAAAATATGGCAATTCATTTTTCTGAACAAATGTGATAGCTTCAGCCAACTGTAATAATTTCCAAATGAACGTTGTTCATTTGAACGTTGAGAATTTTTGCTATTTTAAAATGTATTCATGATTTTCAGATGTATATGATGGTTTTTCTAATGTTTAGAGTTAAAACTAAATTACAATATATTGTATTCTTCTCTATTTAATTATTTATTTATTTTATAGAGAAAGAGTTGGTCTTGTGATTTTGTTGGCTTACACTGCTGCCGTAAGTCCTTGAAATATGGCCATTTTTAATGTTAATGATTATTTTTGTTTAGGTTTGTGTGAGGTGTGTAGAGGAGTGTGACGTGGTGCAGTCTGCCACATTAACACTAAAGCAACAAACAATGCAATAGTAAGTAATGTAAATAATGTCAAGGGGTTTTGTAATTAGAATTTTGCATAAGTAAATATAATTTTTAAAATAAAATCTGTTGTACTGTATTCTTATCCAATCTTTTTATTGTAATTACCTAAGTGTGGTTACAGTAGTTGTAGAGAGCTACACTATAGTGTCCCGTCTTTCCCAGCACTCTGTCATATAACGCTTTGAAACTACTGACTGTTTTGGCCTCCACAACCTTCTCACTTAACTTGTTCCAACTTGTCTACCACTCTGCTTGCGAAAGAAAACTTTTTAATATTTTTTGGCACTTTCGTTTCCTTAGCTTGAATCCTTCCAGCTTGAATCTGTGACCTCTTGTTCCTAAAGTTGCTAGTATTAGGAATTCCTCTTTGTCAATTTGGTCAATTCCTGTTATTATTTTGTAAGTGATGATCATATCACCTCTTTTTCTTCTATCTTCTAGCTTTGTTATATTTAATGCCTCTAACCTCTCTTCATAACTTGGTTTTCAGTTCTAGAAACCATTTAGTTGCATTCCTTTGCACCTTTTTCAGTTTATTAACCCTTAAACTGTGCAAAACTGCATTATGGAGTTTTGAGTAACTGATGCAAAAGTGTGCATCACTGCATATGCAGTTTTGGAGTACTACGCAAGATTTAAATGGCCCGCGAATACACGGGGTTCATATCACTGTCCTCAGGGCTCTTGTAAACTGACTCCATTTTTTTTTTAAATCATGGGCAACATTCTCCGGTGTGAGGGCCTCAGTACTGAGTGAGCCACCAAGGCTGGTGCACACAGCATGAGCTCACAGCACTGCTGTTCAGCTGGTGACCACAGCATCGCCTAAAAATGTCAAAAATATATGTAACTGGTATTATTTAGTGATGATAGTATTACAGAAGACCCCTGATTGTGCTATAAATGACCAGGATTCTGATAATAGCAGGATTGTTGTGATAATTTGTGTGGTGCTCTATGGTGGGAGGAGTAATGCTGAGGGTGGGAGGGCTGTAGTGTCGTTTGCCGAATCTGTGTGGCCACCTGTTGCTGTCTGCACTTATTGTACCAGCTTAGTGGTTTGCTGTGGTGGACAAAACAGGCGACATCTGCATGACTTATGCTGTGTAAGAGTGGCCATTATGCTCTTTGGGCACTATACCAGCTTAGTTGAACAGTTATGGTGAACAAAACATGTAGACACTTGTTCTGTATATATAATGTGTGTGTGTGTGTATATATAGGGTAATAACACCACAAACAGTATACTTGAAGGAGGAATGTTAGTGTGTCTGGCCTTGAACCAGTGTGGGAGGGAGGGAGCATTAGTTGTGTGTGGCCACCTGTTACTGTCTGCCGTCACCCTACAAACTTAAGTGGCTTGCTATGATGAACACAAATGTAGACATTTATATATAACGTGTATATATACAGGTATAGTGTAATAACAGCAAAAAGTTGTGTTGGGAGAAGCCATTTTGGTGAGGGAGGCAGTGTCATCTTCCTGACTTGTCATGCTGTGTAAGGGTGGCAACTATGCTCTTTGTTCACTATGTCAGCTTAGATGAACAGTTATGGGTGAACAAAACATGTAGACACTTATATATAACGTCTGTATGTAGTGAATAAAAGCAAAAACAGTATAGTGGGAGGAGGATGTTGGCGAGTGAGGAGTTTTTGAAGGAGGGAGTGGCAGCGAGAGGCTGGCTGGCTGGTGTGTGGGTGGCCACTTCTCTTTGCTTTTTGACTTACAATATCAACTTAGTGGTTTGTTATGGTGAACAAAACATGCAGATACTTATATATAACCTGTGTAAATAATGTAATAACTGCAAAAGTATTTGTTCATCGTTTTATGAATATAATAATTGAATCAATAATATGCACGCCATAATTTTGAGTACAGTGATGATTCACACATTTTATTATATAAATATATCACACTGCACACTTTTGAATAATATTACTGCAAAAAACTAAGAAAAAATCAATCGGAGACATTGAAGCAATTTGATGATAATATCTTTGTGGTAGCTCCCGTCCGACAGCTGGGGCGGAGCAGACCGCCTCCAATGCTTGCTCTGTCAACGCCTTTTTTCTGTGGGGAGCCCCTACGGCTCCCTGGAGCTTATCGGGCTAATGTATGTTATATTAGACCGGGACATTAGCTAAGGAGTTCAGATCTACCAGGGACCAGCGCCACAACCTGGCCCCTTCAGAGAGGTTTCAGGGAGCAATGGCCCTGGAAAACCCCCTTGTGGTTGGGGTTTTCCTTATCTGCCATCAACCGGGGTTAGGCATCCAGAAAGGTAGGCATAACAAAACAAACCCCACATGGTAAAAAACTAAAACAAAAAAATGAACAAAGAGGTAGAAACTCTTACAATCACAAGGAAACAAGCAAACATCACACTTTACTGCTGTGCAGCCCTCCCCGCCCCGAGAGGGGAAGGGGGGAGCCCCGGACCTACCGCGCCGGCTGCCAAGCTTCAGTTAGGAAGCTAAGCTTCAACCAACGCGAAAAAAACGCCGACCGGTGGGAGGGAAGGTTGCCAGGGAGCCTCCGGGGTTCACCCAGAAAATGGCGTTTCATTACATTCAACGCTGGTTTTCTGTGGGGAGCCCCTACGGCTCCCTGGAGCTTCATACTCAAAGAGAAGGAAAAGAAAGGGCTAACCCGGGAGGCGGCCGCCACAAACTCTGCAACACAAAGCCGAGACAACAAGTCGCAACCTACGACCCAAGGCAACAAGAACGCACAGGAGCAGACACGCATAAAGAATGGGCGGCCAAGAACCTGTGCGACCCTCAAATCCCTGCACCCAAAATGAGCCCTAGACGTCGCCAACACAGCAGCAAAAGCTACAAGCGTCTGAACAGCACGGGTGCAAAGACAGACCGCAGGCTGGAAGAATGAAAAACTCTGCGGACGACCTGGGAGACCGGAGCCCTGAAATCAGGGAACGAGGGGAACCGGATCAACCACAGCGCATCCCCAGACACGGTACACAGGCAACGGCAAAAAGCACAACCAGACAACACAGGATGCACCCCCGGCCAAACCAATCAAGCATCAATAACCCAAGAACCCCTCCGGAAAGCAGCCGTCTCAACCGTCGCCAGGACGGAGAAAGGCTGCACATGTACAAAACTACCACCAATACCAAAGAGCAGAAACTGAACCGAAAGGGTTACCACAAACTGAGGAAAGTTCTAACTGCCGTAGAGATGGTAACTCAAGACAGAAGCAGCTCAAGGTGAGCAGTTAATCGGCATCCACACAAGAAGTGAAACTTAGATATACACACGTGATGCAAATACTAAAATATAGGCCCTTCCCCACAGGACAAATTCCAGGATGGCCATCACTTATCTGAAGAACTGGGACTCGAACAGCACTTAGTGGAAAAGAGAAATGTAATCACAGTGTTTGGACGTGCAGTGCCAGGCATAATTTATGAGGTGTTAAGCTAGGGGACTTGAGTAGCTAGGTGTGTGGCTGTATGGTGGTGAAGGTGTAATTAGTAAATAAACTGCTTCATGACTGGGTCGTTTGCTTGATTCGGTGTCATGTCTCATTTCGTATGTTCTATTTACATTGCTGATTAATTTGTCTTGCTCACCTTTTTGGTGTTTTTTTTTCTCAATTTAGAGTGATCTAGTATACTCTGCTCCTTGCATCTATAGAAGGGTGGGCAGGCTTTGGCCTCTAGTCCCCAGTAGGCTTACAATGACTCACAAGGGCCTGGTAAGGAGTGAATTGGATGGAGCTATCCAGATAGCAACAGGAAGGATTTGTTTTCTAAAGGTTTTCAGGTTAGGATAGTACAAGATGGGGGGAAGAATCAGTTGAAGATAATATTCACAAAGGAAACAGTAAAGAGAAAATGCTAGAGAAGAAGAGCAGACTCTTACATGCACAAACCTACAAAGAACCATTTATCCAGAGGGATATGACAGTGACTTCCATGGCCAGGGAAGAGAGGACTACAGCTGCAGAACAGAAACAGAGGCACTGGAGAAGAGAGGGAAATGGAGAACCCGTGTCCCACAGCTCTGTAACCTCAGGGTCGACAACAAGAGCACCATAAAGCCGCCTCCTTACCAGCCTTTCCTTACTCCCCTCTCCTATCCCATATCCATGCATTCAATCCTCACCCCACACTCCCACCCTACCATTATTCCCCTCCCATTTTCTACTCTCTAACCTAACCCCCAAATTACCCAAGTGTGATTTAAAGTCATATACACCAATATTGATGGAATTACAAAGTGAATGAGCTCAAAGAACAGACAGATGAGGGGTAATCCTGAAGTGATTGCCCTTGTAGGGCTCAACTGTTGTTGGACAACCTCCATTTGCAATGTCATTTAGGGCAGACCAAGAAGTTATCCAAGAAACACAGATATTACCAGAGCAGTGGCACACACACTGTAAAGTCAACTGGTCATGCATTCTTCCCACACAATACTTAGGCAGGAAGAACAAGGGTTCCCCATCATAAGTTAATAGTTTATATGACTAGCACTAGCATCAAACCTGGATCTATAATCAATGGCTTCATGGACAGTGCTAGAGAAGATTTTGAACCTGGAAAGGGCTTTTGGAGGTAAGAAATTATGGTTGTACAGGGCCAGACAAGATGTAAACGCTGAGTACAATCACAGTAGCAATCTTAAACTAAGTTTAAGGACTACATATGCAACTTTTGTGACAAGGAAGGGCACTTGAGGAAAGTGTGCAGAGAATATCTGAACATAAATAGCAAGAAATTTTGATAACCTTGGAAAGGAGACGACCAGGAAATGCAGGAAGAAGAGGTAAGGGTACTGTGGTCAAGGCAGTAGAGGAAGGTAAACCGCCTGAAGAAGCTACTGGTGAGGAAAGCAGACTAAATTCGGTGAAAGAAAAGGTATGTTCGGTGAAGGTTTTCCAGTGCTGGCCATGCACTGGGAAACCCTGGTCTAGACTTCATATAGATTATGCTGGACATATGGATAACAAATATTACCTGGTGGTGGTGGAGTCATACACAAAATGTCTGGATGTTCATGTGTGTAATTCCACCACATCATCTGTAACTTGTG